CCCCCATTGCTTGTCTCAACGTACAGCTGGCTTCATGTTTGAAGAGTGCTTTGCGATTGTCTTGGCACTTCTTGGTGAATCCTCAGTGTGCCTTCTGTTAAGAGTTTGTAGCTGTCAGGTTCCATTAAATGTTTCCTTAGTCTTCTTAGGAGGTTATAAGCAGGTTGTAAGAACACCACTGTCTATTTTTATCCTGTGTGGGGAAACAATTTTGTGTCTATTTTTAAATGAAAGGTTAGTCTGTAGTCACAAGAACCTTACTAAATCAGCACAGGAAGGGCTCTCCAGCTTAACAGGAAGGGTCTCTGTGCGGTCTGGGTTGCAGTGGCGCTTGCTGTCAAATAAGCCGTCAGCAGGCTGTGTGTTGCTGTCAGGCCAGATCCTCAGTACTGCTCATGAGCTGGATGATGCGGTCAGAACGTTAACCAGCCTTCTGTAACAAACAGGAGTCTGCAAAAGATGGGAGCAAACGCTGAATTAAGGCTGAGGAAAGACGACTGTGGTGGCAAACTCCCCTGGGTTTCCACCTGTGCTATGGAATAAGTGTTTGTGGCTGTTCTTGAACTTGCTTTCTGCTGCGTAGCCAGAAGCGGTCATTGGTTTTGCATTTGTAGGTGGCTGGTGGCACGTAGTTCTCAATCTTGACACAACTATTGCCATCACGCAAAACTTTGCCAGCTGTACCAACTTCCCTGTGGTGTGGCACAAGACAGTAAGAGGGAGACCCAAACTGTCACGGAAATGGTACAGGTAAGAGACTTAGTAGCTTTGTTTTTGTATTCTCTATTGAAAACAAACCCCCAAAATACCCTGCTCATTTACATGCAGTGTCACTATCCAGAGGCTAACTCTGAGATTTCAACTGTCTGTAGGATCCTAAAGCAGGAGCATCCTGACTTGGCAGCCTTGGCCGATTCGGTTGACCTGCAGGAATCTACTGGTATTGCTTCCGATAGTTCTAGCGATTCTTCCAGTTCCTCCAGTTCCAGCTCCTCAGACTCCGATTCAGAGGTAATGCTTTTTACTGCAGTGGGTGGTCCGCGCCCTGCCATTATATTGTTCTTTCCACACCTGATCGTGTGTCCTCTTCCTGATATTCATGTCTTATGGAGGAAATATAGAAAGCAGCTAAACAAATCTACGTGGTGGAGGAGCCTGTGGCCTTAGCAGGTTCTGTTTGCTGAAGCCTCGCTTGGTATTGCTAAATCAGTGTGGTTTGTTTGATCTAGGTTTATATCGTATATAAATCTGTCACTGTTACAGCTAAGCCATGCTTGTGTAAAAGGGCTGGAAAATGAGTGTTGTAAAAAGGGGGAGAGGGAACAAGATCCAAACCAGAGACTGTCAGTTATGAGGGGGGACTTTCCTGGGCACTGAAGTGCTGCAGAAGGCACCGGGTCGGCTCTCGGAAAATTAGGTCCTTCTGGGAGCCGAAAGGAATGCATGGATTGTCTTGTGCTCAGCCAGCTGAGTCAGCGATGAAATCTGAGAACATGTGTGTTCTTAATTGAAAATTGATCTCGTGTGTCTAATCTAAAATGGCACATTCTTTGAGTATTCATTATTCAGGCTGCTGAGGTCGCTCGTACAGTGAATCCCACAGCACAAAACTTCTCTGAGTCCTCTTTTCGTCTCTCCATACTTTAGTGTGACTCTGGCTCCGAGACAGAGGGGATGATGCACCGGAGGAAAAAGCGGAGGACGTGCAGCATGATGGGTAACGGCGACACAACTTCCCAGGACGACTGCGTGAGCAAAGAGCGCAGCTCCTCCAGGTGACCCGAGGGCAGCTGTTGGGCTTTAAACAGGCAAAAGACAATACCAGGCAGAGCTGGCAGAGTTACGACAGGGTGCCTCGTCAGGACAGAGGGGTGGAGAGCCAGGGGTCCCTTATGGAGTGGAGAGCAGCTGGGCAGCGGTGGTATCTTCCCTCCATGAATTATTTTAATTGTTCCAAATTGAAAACTAAGATTCTTAATACTTTTTTAAAAAATCAGGGTTTTTTACTTCTATTTAATAAAGTTTTATTACTTTTCCTAGTTGTCTCTTTTCATAGAGAAAGTTTTTGGTTTTTTTAATGGGAGAGGTGGGATATTTCACTTGTGCTCTTCAGAGAGCACAAATGAATAGCAAACAGGTAAAGATGAGGAATGATCAGGCAGGACTCGGGTTTTGATGCAGTGTTGTCCAAGCAGAAAACCTTCAAGTAGTTGTACAGTTTCTTTTATTGCTGCCTGAATTACTTCAGTTTGGCGCATTACCTATTAAAGGCAAAATTCATTCCAAATCCCAAATGTCTGTGTTTACCTATTCCAGAAAAAGAAAAAAAACAAGGCAGGTTTCTAATCAGTCTGGAGGGAGGGAACATTAATCATTAATATTGCAGAACTAAGAACAGATATTGCTTAGGGTAGAGTTGCCAAGAAAGGAATTTCTCTGGACTTGCCAGGTTGAAAACAGTGAAATACTGGGTGTCTGGATGCGTACCGCAAGGAGGAAGGTAGAAATTCCTTGCTAAATGAAGCATTTTTCTCATACAGCAAAGGCTTGCCAAAGTTCCTAAGCAAACTCCTTGCAGTGTGGTTAGAGGATGCGGCTGCGTGAGCGGGCTGCCTGCGCCAGGGTGCTGCCCGGGTCCCGAGCTGGCGGGTGCTCCAGGCTGGCCGTGGACGCAGGCGCTGCGGTGACTTGCTGTGCGGGCTGCTAAAGGTGTGCAGCGGTGATTTACCCGAGGGAGTCTGGACACCCGGTATCGTGCCTGACTTCCCAGCGCAGGGCTCTGCCCAGAGACCCGTCTGCTCCTGTCCGGGCTGCGTTCATCTCGCTGCGATGTGCTGCTGCTCGCTTGTCTTCAGGAGTTGCTCGTAACTGCACGCAACTGAACTACAAGCACAGAGCATCACAAAACAGCTGGGCGGGACGGACTGCTCATTTTGCCCTGGAGGTTTTAACGATGAGTTTGTTATGACATGTCAGCAGCCAGTTGTGACCTCGGGCAGGGAATGAGCAGCAGGAGGTAACAAACCGTAATGCAGACCCTGGTTTTTGTTTTGGTGGTTTTTGTTTTTTAAAAACCTATAAAAACGCAGAGCACAGATGCAGGTCTGTTCTGACAATCCCACGCATTTTTAAGTCGCTTGCACTTTGAATTTTGAAGTGAATACCTCCACGATTAAAAATGAACGCATTGCCCAGAACCCTGGCTTTCCAGCTCTCACTGTTTTTCCTCCTGGCTGTTGGTTGTGTCACTCTGTGAGGATGGGTGGGCTTTCCGCTCCAGCTGTGGGACAGATGAGTTGTCAGAAACAGTTCCAAACATCAAGTCTTGTCTAGCTTGTACAGTTCTGTCGGAAGAACAAGCATCCTGTTAACGTGCATGCTGCGATCTTGTGTCCTGACGGGAGGGGAAATGCCATCGTTGTTGACAGGCAGTTGTACTTTTTTTGACAGGATTAGGGAATCTTGTGGAGGCCGCAGCTACCCCTGAGGGATCCCAACACCCGCCTAGAGGCAGCTGCCGATCGAAGCTCCGTTAGCAGCCAGCCCGCCCGCCCTTGCCTACCCCCTTCTGCTTCTGTTTCTCACAGTCCTTACGTTCGTGTCACTCTCCCTCGGTCCGGACGTCCGTCTTCATTCAGTGCTGTCAAAGGTTGGCTCCTTGATACCTTCCGGGGAACGCCCCGCCTCGACGTTGTGCAATGCTTTGTCCCCTCTGCGCCCCGAGCGAGTGCACTAATGGCCCAGCGTTGGGTAAGGACATGCCAAGTATTTAACGGTTCACCTAACTGGCAAGGAAGGCGACGGTCAGTTTTTAAAGAACTGTTTTTAAAACCAGCAGGTAGATGTACAAACCTGCCTTGCTTTGACACTGTCATATGTTTACATGTTGTCCTGTACACTTGAGGAAAGGAACACCAGCCCTGCTGGCTTACCGCAGCGTCCGGCGGATCTCGCACCAGAATTTCAGGAAGGGAAGGTGGGATGAATGCTCCGAACACTGAAGCAGCTTCCACGGAGGTGACCACCGACCTGAAGCATCTTTCGTGGTCTTAGTCTGCACGCGTACATCGAAGGTGGGACACCTGAACCAGCAACAGTCCGTTCGCTTTTGCTCTGCGTCCGTGATGATGGCCGGTAACAAAGATGCACTAGCACCTTGCGAGAGGAAGCTCGACGGAGCGGGAGAAGCCTGGAGCTTCTTGCACAGCAAAAATTGTGGGGAGAAAGTCAGCATTTGCCAGTAAATACAGCCCTGCAGGTGCAGGCATGATGCTCAGCACTGGGAACAACTGGCAAAGTCTGACTCTTAGAGAGCAACCGTCGCTGGGCTTCAGACATCAAGCGGTTCTGGAGCCGTGCGCTCCTTCGGGCCGGCGCAGTTCACGTGCCTCGGCGGCTTTTCTTTGAGGTTGTGGGTTCAGGTGTTTCTAGAGCTTGCAGTGCCAATTTTAAAGGACTGGGAGGGGGACGTATTGTTGTTTTATGCTTTTTAAAAATGCAATGTGTTGCTTAAGTCTGCGTAGATGCGTTTGTGTTATGCCAGGTGAGCTCTCATCCCCAAGGGATCTGTTGGAGCTGCTGGCATTTTTTTAGCAGGGGCTTGTGCTGGTAGCGTCAGCGAAGAGGTCCATCAGGCTGAAGGTGTGCCGTGAGGAAACGCTCCTGCTCCTCTGTCTGAACAGCACAGCCAGAGGCCAGCTGGGTTGGGGTGCTGCGCTGGGCGCTCTCCTGAGCCCTAGGAGTGGGTGTTGGAGCTCACCGTGGCCGTTCTTGTTTGGGAGAGGAAACTTGAGCACGGAAGCGGTGTGCACATAGTAAACACGCAGCAATGCCCAGGCACCGGCAGCAGAATTGAAAAGCAGATTGGCAGCCTTACCTGTGACTCTTGTACGTGTTGGGTTTGATGGAACCCAGAACGCTGCTTGTTTGGGTTTTCTGATCTTCATTATGACCTTGTCTCTTCGTGTTTAAACGCTCTCTCCCTTCTTAGAGACCAGGCCATGTCCTGTTGGGTAAGGAAACCCTGAATATGTCTGTCGGGATCTCTGTTTCTGAACCTTCTGTGCCAGTCACTTTGTGTAGGAGCAGCGTGGCAGTGGGCAAACGGAAGGAGGAAAGGGTTTTTTGGTATGCTCTGCAGCTGTCCAGACTCCTGGATTTCCTGTGATAGCCAGGCATGGGTGAGCATGCTTGCTGTGCAGACTGCTGCAGGTTCTTCCACGAGATTACTGCATTTTAAATAAAAACAAGCCCTTCTCAAACCCCTGGCATTTCTGGCCAAGGTTTTCTTTCTCCCTGC